TGTATGAGATTGTGTATTAAAAAAGTACAATGTGTGATATTAAGAATTTGGGTTAGACAAAAGGCCAATACTTTAAACTTAAACTTATATAAATTTATTTTAAGGCCCTTTGTGGGAATCCAGCCGTTGTCTAATCTGATTGGACACTGAAAAATTGGGCTAGTTTTCATTCCATTTGGGCGGATTTTGAGTTGTCATTGGGCTGGAAATATTTCTGGGACCTGGCAACCCTGACTGTGTAACTTTATTTACAATTAACAGCGCGGACAAAGCTGCCAGAGCTAGCACAACAACAAAACTGACTAAAACTGCACTGTGCAAACCATGGCTAAACGCCAGGAACAAGAGCAGGAAACGAGTTTCAAAAAGAGAAGAAGAGCATATCATGACAGTTTCTTGATGTTTGGATTTGTGGAAGCTTTGGATAAAATCAAGATTGAGTGCATATTTTGCGGCGAGAAATTGGCGAATGAAAGCATGAAGCCCAGCAAGCTAAAGCGACTTCAAGACACCAAACACCCAGAGACAGTGGGAAACCCCAGGGAGTATTTCCTTCGCAAAAAAGATCTGACCTTGTCGCACAGACCCCAAAATATAAGGGAAAGCTTTGCCAGGGCTGGAAGTGACCAGAAGCAAGCCAATATTGCTTCGTTCGAGTGCGCGCTCCTCATAGTGCAGACCAAAAAACCTCATAGCATCGCAGAAACCCTCATCAAACCAGCTTGTATTAAAATTGCAGAAATCATGTGTGGACCTCAGGTGGCCAATAAGTTAAAGACAGTACCGCTGTCAAACAACACAGTAAAAGACAGGATTGATAGAATGGCCACGAATGTTGAAACTACGCTAATAGAAACGCTCAAAAGAGGCTCATTTGCAATACAATTGGACGAAACTACTACCGTTGCGGATGAGGCTGTTCTAATAGTGTACGTGCAATACATTGAGGATGCTGCGCTAAAACAGGACATTCTAATGTCTGTCAATCTCCAAACTAACACGCGCGGGGAAGATATATTTGGTGTTGTGGATGTCTTCTTTTCTAAACACAGTCTTTCATACGACAGTTTAGTGGCCTGTTGTACAGATGGAGCAGCGTCTATGATGGGCAAAAATAAAGGTTTTAACAGCCGCTTGAAAGAGAAAGCGCCCCACTGTCTGATATTTCACTGCATGATACATCGACAAGCACTCGCCAGCAAACACCTCAGTGAGAAACTGAACGAAACCTTAAAAACTGTGGTCAAAATAGTCAACTTCATAAAAGCGCGTCCACTCAACAAAAGACTATTTGCCCAACTATGTGAGGATGAGGCGCACCAAACGCTCCTGCTCCATACTGAAGTGCGCTGGCTCTCGCGCGGAAAGGTTTTGGAGCACTTTATTGAGCTTCAGGATCCGATAAAAGAGTTCCTCGCTGTTCATAACAAGAAACTCCTTGAGGAGTTCACACAAGAGTTTCTCATTAAAGCATCATACGTTGCGGAGATTTTTGGACTTTATAATGAGACAAACAAGCAGATGCAGGGCGCAGAGACTAATGTAATGCGATGTAAAGAGACCGTGGACGCGTTCGTGCGTAAAGTGGAGTACAGGAAAAATAAACTTACAAAAGGAGAGCTGCAATCATTACCCACTTTAGAAAAGCAATCAGGGGGGAAGTTATCTCGAGAGCACATAGCTTTGTTTGTTCACCACATGACACAACTTCAGACGGAGATGACATCCCGCTTTTCCGATGTAACGGAACACATCGCTAAAGACGCATGGGTAATGGATCCCTTTCTCGCTAAAGAGGGAGATGTGGAACATCTTCACGCAGAGGATGAACTCTTGGACATCCACTCCAGCTCCCTCTTGAAAAGATTCTTCGACGAGCATGGATACATGCAGTTTTGGCTTGTGAAAGGACAAGACATCGATCCTGGACTGGCGCGTCACACGATCACCAATTTCATCTTGCCATTAGCGACAACTTACTTGTCAGAAACTGCTTTCAGTTCACTGGTTACAATCAAAACAAAAGCAGGCAACAGGCTCGACGTCCATAGTGACTTTCGTTTGGCTGTTACCAAAATCAAACCTGATATACAGTCACTGGCACAAGAAATGCAGGCCCAGATATCTCATTAAAAAATGCAACCTCGATCTATAATGTTCACTGAAAATGTGTTCAAATACATTACATTGTATTATTTCTTTAAGCTCACTGTTCAAATTATGAGCATTTACCTTCACCTTTGCAATTAATAAATCTAAATTGTAATATGAAATCTAATGTAGTTTTTTTTTCTGGGGAAAAAATAGGGTAGGGGGTCGCCAAAAATATCGATAGGAAAAAAGGGGTCCCTTGAGGAAAAAGGTTGGGAACCACTGGTCTAGCAGATGCGACTATAAAAGGGCATTACTTAACAAAGAAAAAAAAATTATTGCTAGGGCCCATGCTGAAAAAGGTGAAGACTACTGGGACTCTATAATCTGGAGTGATGCACTAACGTTCTTAAAATGGCATGGCGTCACAAAGGTGAGGATTTCAAAGAAAAATGCATGGTGCCTACAGTGAAACATGGTGGTGGCAGTGTACTTATGTGGGGCTGCATTTCATTGATGGTATCATGGACTCAAAAATATACTGCTCTATCCTCTCCTATGAATGAGAAGACTTAGAGAAAACTTAAATTTGATAACCCTTGTCAAGTGTGTCAAGGCCCTGAGGTTTCATTGAACTACAATCAACATGATAATCAACCAGTAGGTCACATTCTCTATCTGAAATGTTTCAAAAAGAAAAGGGCCAATTAGACGTTTTATTTAATAATTATATACCCGGTCCAAAAATGTAAACACTCCGCTCCTGCAACCAAATGAGACATCTCTAATGAGAGACAAGAAAGTAGATCCCAGTTTATGGCATTTTTGTGTTTTCTGGTTTAAAAAATGGCATTAAATGTATAAACATGTATATTTAAATATATGTCAAAACAAACTACTTTGACTGTTATCACCCAAACTCCCAAATGTGCCTTTCCGGGACATTTAATAATAAGACAAAAATGGAGACTTTTATTTTGAAGGAATGGCGTTAGGAACATTTTGTAAACGTACGAAAGTCTGCGTTACAAAAATGTAATGCGATTGCTTTGCAGCAGACAGTTGCGAATGTGTTTGACACAGCAGGAATAAATGGAGGACGAATGTGCATTAAAGCACTTGTTTAAAGCAATTCAACACGGAGAGCTGTGCACAGTTGTACAGCAGCTCAAAGAGGTTGGTAACGAGCGAGTCATACATATTCATTTCGGCAAGTCTGGAGACACCGTGCTGCACTATGCCGCCAGATATGGATACCTGGACATTATACGCTTTTTAATTGAGGAGATGGGAATGGACGTGGAGGTTTACAACAACGACTACAAGAGAGCTCTACATGAGGCGTCCTCCATGGGTCATCACGACTGTGTTCGGTACCTTTTAGCCAAAGGAGCGCAAGTTGACAGTTTAAAGAAGGCTGATTGGTATGAAATATTTTCATGAAACTATTAACAGAAGTCAGTGGTGATATTGATCTAAGAAACCATTGAAGAGTATCCCCTTCGATAGCTCAGTTGGTAGAGCGGAGGACTGTAGATTCACATTGTGGTAATCCTTAGGTCGCTGGTTCGAATCCGGCTCGAAGGAGAACAATTTTTATTTTCTGACTGTAGACCTAATTAATTATAAAAGAATCTGTTAATTTATCAATTAATTTTATAATTACTGCTAGATGTAATTATAAAAATGTAATAATAAATGCAGTGTTTGTGATTAAATGCTAGCAGTGTATTGAACATTTTGAATTTAAAGAACTCCAATTATTGATTTTCGCATTGTCTCGCATGCAAAGACACCTAAGATCATTTCATTTGGGCATAAAAATTATGGCTTTCTTAGAGGATCAGTGGAAACAGACAGCACCTGTGTTAACTATATGAGTCACAGCATACATCGGATCATGTGATATTGCAGTTTTTCTTAAGGAAAACTTACAGTGATCTTATAAATTTATCAGACACAAAACAAATATAAAAGAATGACTTAAAGAAAAATATGAATAATACATGATCGTTTCATCCATTCATTCTGGGATTCGAACTACTGCAACATCTGATCGTTATGCCTATATAACAATGACAAGATATCAGTGACATCACCCACAGGTTTCCCTGATGAAAGGTCTTCATAGTTGTGATGAGATGTTTTAACATTGGCTATTTTTACTATTTTAATTAAACACATGTCTAAATATATTTGCACTCGTTGGAAATCTAATAAGAGATGTCTTCTACTTAATTTTTACCAGTGCTATATCTAACTGATTCATTACTAACGAAAATGCAGTAGGAGATATTTTGATTTTATCTTAGTGAAAATTTATTTAGGATCTAGTACGTAGTTATCTGCAAATGTTTGACCAGGAATTGTCATGAAAGGAAGGATATATGTCTAGTGTAGATCTTAAGTGGTCAGTTGAACTACAAGGTTCGTCACTTCCTGTTTACGCGTTAGGGAAAGCAGGGTTGCACTTGATATCAGGTGATTGTCTTTAATAAGAAAGTACAGATTCAGTCACTGAAACAAGTTGTACATTACCGTGATTGAATCTTTTTGAAAATATATAAAAGCTCCCACAAGCCACAATATGAAAATCATTTTGAATGCCAATACATGCGGCCATGCAAACCAGGAAGTAGACCAGATTTCACTACAACAGAAAGTTCAGCTTTTATTTTCAAACTTTGACATGAAAATGCATCACATGATGCAATTTGAGCCACTGGATTAGAGAGGTCAAATGTGTGACTTTTTCATGATTTAATATACTTCAATTCACTTTTCATTGATATTGTTATAAATTAGATTAGGGAGCACCCTGTTATATTTTTAGGGAGTTAGGATTCTGTAAATTATACAAATTTCTGGTAGTTTAAAGTGTTTTTTGACCACACATGATAAGAAGACTTTGACACAAGAGTATAAGATGATTCAACGTGGAACTCTGCTTTATTTAACTTAAAGATGGTATAGTTATAAGCCTGCCAAATAGAGTAAGGAAAGGGAAGGAAGAGGTGCTGGAGGAAAAAAAACAGCCAGCCTCTGTGAGAGTCAAAACCAAATGTCTAGAAAAAGGTGTGTCACTTCTAGTTTGTGATGTATTTCTTGTTCTATCTTGGCGCATTTCATGTCCCTTCTCAGAGATCGACATTTTTTTCTATCACAGTTCAACCTGTCGTTGAGGGATCTGAAATCCAAATAATGAAACCGTTCCAAATGTACAATGTATTATTTTTTGTTTAATAACTCGTTTGCCATCTTTAGGACTCCTCTGATGATGGCCTGTACCCGACGGAACCTGTCAGTGGTCCAGGAGCTACTTGATCATGGTGCCAACGCAACACTGCAAAACAAGGACGGATGGAGTTCATTCCACATCGCCTGCAGAGAAGGAGACCCGGCCATTATCCAGCACCTCCTGCTGGTCAAACCTGATGTCTGGGAGACTAAGAGCAAGACTGGCAGAACACCTCTTCATACAGCTGGTAGAGAACCTGCTTCTAGATTAACATATGCCATTCCAGGTCTCTTTACATGTGTTTCTCGCTCAAGCTATGCACGGTTGTGAGGATGCGGTAAAGATTCTGCTGCACAGGTAAAAGCTTAAAATGTTGTTTTTGTAACAGTGTTATTTTCTAACCCGGTGTATTTTAATGCAGATGTTGCTATAAGCCTGATGAGAGAGACAGCTGTGGAGTTACACCCTTTATGGACGCCATAAGGAATGGACACATAGCTACAGCTAAAGTACTTCTTGAGAACCACCAGGTTAGCATGTCTGCTAATATAGTCACATGGTTTAAAGTGTCAACATCTAAGAACATTTTTTTATTTTATTATTTTTTTTTTAAACTAACTGTAAGAAAATGTTTATGTTTGTATTCATTCAGGTGATAGATACCGCATTTTATGGTTTAGTGCAGGGGTCACCAACCTTTTTGAAAGGAGAGCTAGAGAGCTACTTCCTGGGTACTGATAAATGCAAAGGGCACCACTTTGAGACCTCTTCTGAATTTATTTATACTGTAATTAAGGATATTCATCTCTGCAAAGACACTGATCATGTTAATTGTTTCTCTCAATCAATATCAACAATGATTTAACAAGGTAGTAAACAGATAAATATTAATATGCAACACTTTATATTTATTTTTTGTCTTAGTGCAAGTGTTTCTTAAATTGAAAAAATGTTCAAAACACTGAACACTGAAATGTTCAAAATCATAATATCCAATGTACAAATAATTAATCACATAAATACAAAAAGTGAGCTAAGATAATTTTTTTCTTACATTGTTAACATTTTAACATAAAAAATTTTTACATTTTACAAACGTATTCAACTAAACATGACCTGGACACCAAATCTCGTATCTGTTTCTTTTAGTTACTGGGAAGCCTGGCATTGTGTGCGGTTTACCAGTATGTTGACCTCTGAGTGAGCCTTGCAGATGTGCATCTCACATATCTCTCGCAACTTGCATCTTTTTCTGCATTCAGTGCGCTGCTCTGTGGATAGTTAGTAGCTTGTATCCACGTCGTAAAATGTCTCTCCACGTTATGCCACTTGGCCGCTGCCACAGTCGTCGCGCAATTGAGACAAACTCATCCTCCTTTCACAGAGATTAAAAAAAAAACATGTTTTTATGGGTCAGTCGTCTCATTTTCGCTGCGCTGCTTGTTTGTTTCATCGTAGCGCATCATACTGACCTTTCAACTGTACCAGGTCGTAGTTCATATATATAATTTTTAATTTATATATTGTCACATCAAGCTTACGTGCAAGTGTCATTTAAACACGAATAGCAATCATATTAAATTAGATTCAGCTCACTGGAAAGTGGCGCTATTTGAGCTATTTTTAAAAACAGGTAGCGGGCGACTCGTGGTCCTTACGGGCGACCCGCAGGTGTTGGTGACCCCTGGTTTAGTGTTTCCATACCATCTAAACCTTTGGTAAATGTTACACTCAAACACTTAAACTCAAACACTTTCCCAACCCATTTAATTATTACTTAAATCAATATAATACGTAAACGTCGACTATTAGTCGACTAATAGCTTTAATGAACGACCAAAAGTCGACTAGGAAAATCTTTAGTCGATGGCAGCCCTAGTTTTGGATTATGTCACTAAAACAGGACCAAACAATGGAAAATTACATTGTTGATTGTTTAAAATTAAAGATTCAGTAGAGACCAAAATATTCTTGTTTTTGTCTGGAAAAAAAAGTGTATTAGAGTGTTGTGGAGCTTTAAAACGGAATGGATACAAGTGAACACTGGGATCACTGGGTTCTGGTAATATGTACAAGAAGTAGATGAGAAATATCCAGTCGCAGAGTTTGTTTGAGAATGTGTTTAAACACCATAAATATAAGCTTATGCTTTAATCTAAACCCTGTTCCTCCTGAGCGTACTAAAGTTAGTTTGTTTCTATGAGAAATGACTCGCAGATGTGCTTCCTGTTAATGTGGCAATACACATTTTACGGATTGCAGTGCAACACGGTTGTGGGAACATGCTTTAACTGGATCTCACAAGGAACATTTGTCTGTAGGGAAATTTTTTTAATTAAATATGAAGCTATTATATGCATACGATTTGAGTCCAACTGTAGCTAAAGTCTCAAGATCGGCAGTTTACCTTCTGAGTAAGACTTCCTGTGCCTGTAATCGCAGACATTGTAAAGTTGTGTTTATCATAATAAATACACTTGAGCTTAATACGGTTTTCCAGCCGCAGTAATTTTCTGTTTGCACCAATGTTTTTAAGCACTCCTCTTTTTATGCGAACGCTTTTCCTGGGTTTTAGACACCCTTCTGTGGTGATGTGAGGTTGTTTATGCTCATCTTCAGGCATCTCCTTCAGCCGAGGATATTCTGGGTGCCCAGCCCCTGCACCAGGCATCTGTAACCGCTCAGGAAGAAGCTCTTTGTTTCCTTGTCAATCATCTTTCCATTGATATCAACTCAACGGCCACAAAACTGGACCTGACTGCATTGCTCTACGCTGCTAAGGTTGTATTTAATGCTTCAAATATTCACTCACTGGCCAATTTATTAGGTACACGTCGGACCCCTTTTGCTCAAACACCTTTGTGGCATAGATTCCACAAGGAAATATTCTCCTGGATTGAGATCTGGTGACTGTCAAAGCCATTTGAGTACAGTGAACTCACTGTCATGTTCAAGATACCAGTCTGAGATGATTTGTGCCGTATGACATGGACCGTTGTCCTCCTGGAAGTAGCCGTCAGAAGATGGGAAGGCTGTGCTCATAAAGGGGTCAGCAGCAATGTGGCATGACTCAGTGCTCCCAAAGTGTGCCAAGAAAATAGTTCTCACACCATTACACCACCACCACCACCACCACCAGTACTCTTAAACGATGATACAAGGCAGGATGCTTTGCTATATTTCATGTTGTTAACGGCAAACAATGACCATAGCTTTCAAATGTTGCAGCAGAACTTGAGACTCATCAGACCAGACGTTGTTTTTCCAATCTTCTGTTGTCCGATTTTGGTGACCCTGTGTGAATTGTAGCCTCAGTTTCCTGCTTGTAGCTGATAGGAGGGGCACCCGG